TGAGGACGTATTTCCGCCTCAGGGCGCAAAAGATTGCGCCCTGAGCCGTCTATGGACTCTCGTTAAAAGTTGTACATGCGCAGTAGCTCCTCTTCAATGCAAGAGATAAGACGATTTGGGGGCGCAGGAGAAGTGCGCCCTGAGGGGGCGGGATCGCCCGCGACTTGTACTGTCACTGTCTGTGACGTCCGTTTACAGTGATTGACAGGTCAACAGTGTTGCCAACTTAGCGACTTTGTCGCTAGATTAAGCGACTTTTCAGACCCCTATAGCGACTTTTTTTCAAAAAAGCGACTAGCGACAAATCTAGCGACTTTTTCTGGTGTTATTGGCGACTTATCTGGTGTTTTGGCGACTTATCTGGTGTTTTGGAGACTCGTGAAGCACGTATTGTTCTGCTGTCCTCAACGTGAGCCCCTCCCCCGTCCCAAAGCACTTACAGGCGGCCAGTCTCACAGTAGCCTTGCGCAGCAGTCCCAGCTACAGTCTATGGGCGGAGCAGAGAGAGAGAGAGGAGACTCAAAAGCACAGGAAGTTTTCAGGCTGCTGCAGACTGAACTTCAGCTCCACCACCACCACACATTCAAAGCTCCCCGGCCACTCCTACCACCGCCACCCCCCACTACCCCCCACTCCATCCGCGGCAGCTCTGTCCGTGACTCTGTTTTCTCTCAGTAGTGGGTCACATTAAATCATTTGTTATGCCAAACTATGAAAAAAAAAAAAAACTTACAAAAATAAACCTAAGTAACTCTGCCAGAGTGTGTCTTTTGGGTCACTTTGCCGGTCCCAAGCCCGGATAAAGGAGGAGGGTTGGTTGTAGAGCTAGCAATTTCACCCTACATAACAATCTTTTGATTACATTTGCTGTTATAACATTTAACAATACAGGACAAAACTGATGTGTGTAATGTGGATCTAGACAAAGCATTAAAATCATTAAATGTTGTTAATGTTGAAATTATTTTTGTACATTTGTAGTTCTAAACATATTTAGGGTGTTTTTACTCACTTTTGTCTCTCCCACGACCTTATTCCTCTCTCCTACAGCGTCCGTTACAGTTATTTGCAAATGGCAAATTATGCAAATTAGGCGATGACGTCATTTAGCGACTTCTAGCGACTTTTGGGACAGCCAATAGCTACTTTCCTTACTGAGGAGTTGGCAACACTGCAGGTCAAGCTGTGGGAGTTTGAGACGAACGTAAAGAGACGCAAAATGGAGAACGAGAAAAAGAATAATTCAGTTAGATCACTCAAAACAATACCGTTTGAGAGAAGATCATACCAGGAGAAGGTTGAGGTTAAAGAGCTTGGACCTGATCAGCCAAATATTACCATTAGTCAGCAGTCCAGCGACAGGGGGAGACGGTACACTCGTACTTTTTCCAGGACCTGGTTCAGCGCCAAATCTTGGCTAGCAGCATGTAGCGAGGCTAATGCTTTATTTTGCTTTCCATGCCTCTTGTTTCAAACATCAGGATCTGACCCAGCATGGATCAAGACAGGTATGACTGATCTGAAGCACTTTTTAGAAAAGAAGCATGAGCAGACTGGTATCCACATGCAAAATGCCCTCAAATTAGCTATGTTTGGGAAGATAAATATTTCATCCCAGCTGGATGAAAGCTACAGGGTAGGGATCAGAAAGCATCCCTACCCTGCTGATATATATCTAGTCATCATATTCATAGCCCCCCCAGTAGAAAATTCCACCAGCCGCCACTGCCAGAGACCCTTCCAGACAACAACACATACGAGTTTTCAACTGCACATGCGCAGTTGAAAACTCGTAATTTTGACTTGTAAAGTCGAAATTTTGACTTTTAAAAGTCGTAATTTTGAGTTTGAAACTCAAAGTTTTGACTTTCTGTAGGCTTTTTTTTTTTTTTTTACATGGCGGAAACTGGCTTCCATATACCAGTGTCTCCCAAAGTGGGGTCCGCGGCCCCCTGGTGGGCCGCGAGGGTACTGCAGGGGGGCCGCGGGAGGTCATAAAAAAAAAGATATATATATATATAATTATTTAATGTTAAATTTATAATGTTTTGTTTGTAATATTAAAATATTTGTGTTCATTATTTGACTTGAATAATCCACTGTAATCATTTTTGTATTACAATGTTTGTAGCAGAGGCTATTTCCCCAAAATAAAATAACCAGAAGAGCCTATTCTTAATGTTGTCTTCTTGGTTATTATTTTGGGGGGGCCACGCAGACCCGTCAGATTTTTAAGGGGGCCTCGGTGTTACTGAGTTTGGGAATGGCTGCCATATACAATAAAACGCTTCAGAAGCATGGATCTCCAGTCCAGTCCCTGTGCACTCATTAAACAACACCGCCCTCTAGTGGTGTAACAGCGAAGAGCACCAACAAGTGAGAAGTTTTATTCCAGATCAGATGTTAAACTGTTCAAATAAAAACATCTCCTCTGACTTTAGTTGAAGACTGATTAATATATTCACTAAAGCCACAGAGTTGATCTTAAGCCGCTTAATGATAAATGTTGCATTTTATTGTTGAAAATGGCTAAATCATTTTTTTGATCCGCACGAGTGTGGTTGTAAATGCGTGTGGGGGTGGGTGGGGAGATGAAATCAACATTTTATAAGCGCTGAAATGCGCGTATAAAGCGCTGTTTGCCTGAATATCTTGTAGTTTTACCATGTAAAGGTTCGAGACTGTAAATATTATATACATCAACGGAATTAGGTATTTTCACTCATGTGTTTGCGCAATGCAGCCACTAGAGGGAGCTAAAAGGCCACTAATATCTTCCAGATCCCTCACCTGCGTTTTTGTACCTGCCTTAAATATTTGTAAATAGCTTTTATGTTTAAACTCGGTTTTTGTTAGTATCATATTATTGTATTATATGTAAATACTGTAAGTAATGTTTTCCACCTTTATGTTAATCCTGTTGGTTTTCACTTATTTCTTATTTCAGGCCACACACAAACCCCACCTATAATCCACCCATAACAGCTTTCCATGTCCATTTGTAACTGCCCCAATCGCCACAATAACCTTTCCATTCGGATGTGCAGTATAAAAACTACATTGGAATACATTTGCTAAAAAGGTACTCTGTGTGCACCGACAGAATAAAGAGCATAATGCAATGTAATATAAAATACACATACACTGAAAATAAAATAATAAAAAAACAACTGACACTGTGGCACCGATCAACAAAAACGATACAAGGGGTAAAAGCAGGAATTAAAGTGCTCTGTTTAGGCACCTAACAGCCTGTGGAAAGAAGCTGTTAGCATAGCGACATGTCTTGCATCTCAGCGACCGATATCTTCTGCCAGAAGGAAGAAGCTGGAACATGGCTTTCCCAGGGTGGCCAGAAGAGTCACTGATGATTTTTAGAGCTCTGGATTCATAAAGAACCTCCAGAACAGGAAGCTCACAGCCCACGGTCCTCTTTGCAGAGCGGAGCACCTTGTTTAAAGCTCTTTTCTTTATCTGTGATGTTTCCAAACCACACAGACACAGAACCAACAAGTAAACTCTCAATGGTAAACTCTCATACACGCAATATACACACTAAATACACACATTAAAAACACACATTAAATACACACATTAAATACACACGCATTCAAGTTTTGGTTTTCTTTCATATATGAAAATTTCTCTTACCATTTTGCTGTTTGCAGTTGTAACCCAGAACATTGTCTGACATGTTCTGGATTCCTTTGTGCAGATTACTGATCAGATCAACTTGTGTAACTTGTTTTATTCATGGCGGTTGACATATACAAAGCACTAAAGTAGCAACAGCACCGTGACACCGCCTTGTGGCAAAGTCAAAAGTTTGGAGATTGTAAAGTCTGCCTCTGTCCGGCCCCGGATTAAGTGGAAGAAATTGAATTAAATTTTTTAATTTAATCTCTGTGCAGCACTTTGGAAACTTGTTTATATAATGAGCTATATAAATAAAGTGGATTGGATTAAATTGACAACTATTATTCAAACAGAAACTTTCTTACAAACTCAACAATAATACTGGGCATGATGAGTGGGAGGGGCCAGTTTCCAAGCGAATCCTAGTCAGAACAGGGTCTTACTGAGAGGAGTTTGCATGTTCTCCCCGTGTCTGGTGCTCCGGTTTCCCCTACCACTAAAAACATGTGCAATAGGAAAAATCCTCCAGCTCTGGTCCTGACCAAGAGCATCAACACCAGGAGAGGGGTCCTGCTCCTGACAGAGGCCCACGTGGCTTCAAAGGATGGGTCAAATGCAGAAGATAAAGTTCCCCCTGTTCATAAATAAAGTATACTTACTTACGGTAACTTTTACGTTTGTGTGTGCACTTGTTATTGGGGAAGGTTTGAATGGGCATCAAACACGTCTCTAGATGTTATCGTAACATTGTAACAAACTTTACAAGTTCATCTTTGAAAGCTGACTACATCAACTTAGAATTTAAAATACTTTGTCCACGGTCTGAGTCTTATGGACTGTCGGGGTTCCTTTGAACAGATCAAAAACTAGTATTATATGAAACAGTCCTAAACATGCTGCTGTTGGAATATTTCACATAAACAAATGTGAAGCAAAACACTGGAGTTTTCTATAAAACTTCAACAAAAGTCTGCAGTAAATAATGTTTGTGAAATACAGGTGTGTCCAGATTAAAGAGTTCATTGTGATTTGTTTTGAAAGTAGGCAAAGTGTTTTCAACAATTATATTTTTGTGTTTTCAGTTTTGGTCCAATGTGATGGAGACGTGAGAGTTAATCTAAAAGCTGTTGTGGGACGATCCGTCACTTTTCCAGACTCTGTGAAGGAGAGAGGATATATTTCATTTGTACCAAAAACTATTGCTTCTATTTTTAATGGTGAATTTGAGATTGAAGAAGACATTTACAGAAACAGACTTCACTGGAACAAAAGCACTGGACTCTTCACTCTCTCAGATCTGCAGAAAAATGATTCTGGAGTTTATTCCATCGACTCCAAAAAAGGGAATGTGTTTCTCAAACGTTATGACCTCAAAGTGTTCGGTGAGTACAAGTATGTTCCTGTTCAGACTTGTACCAGCTCTGACTCTGAGTTTACTTTGATCTTTCTGCTTTCATTATTTACTGGAGGGAAACTGTTGTGTATTTTAGGTTTTCTGAAGTGGTAATGATCTTTATTATAGTGTTGTTGTAGTGAACTCTAATGCCCTGATGCAGGACACACAGATGTCACATGTTTAAGACTACTTTACCTCCAATTTACAATGTTTTACGTCTGTTTGTTTCAGTTTGTGTGACTGTGCCATAATGCAAATGCATGAAGTGTAATATTCCAGACAGAAACTTACACTACGATTGTTGTAATGCTTTGTTTGTGTTGTGTGATTGTTGTGTGTTTGTTGTGTGATTGTTGTGTGTTTGTTGTGTGTTGCAGAGGAGGTGTGTGTTCCAGTCGTGTCCTGTGTGAACGTGAGCTCTGACAGTGTCACTCTGCAGTGTTCAGTGAAGCACACAGAGCAGACCACACTGAGCTGGTTCAGAGGAGGTCAGTCTGTGGTCAGCAGCAGCTCTGCAGTGCTGCCCCTCACTGTCCAACAGAGGAACTACACCCACCAGTACAAATGTGTGTCTCAGAACCCTGTGGGGGAGAAGACTGCTACAGTGAAGATAACGGAAATCTGCACTGAAGAAAATACTGAAAACAAACATTGTAAGAATCCAAACTTTATGGGAAAATGATTGGGCTCATGTGTAATCCTTTGTTTTCTTTTGTTAGCTGTCATCATTATTCCCATTGTCTCGGGTGTACTCGTCTTCATCATCATCATCATCCTGTGTATTGTGTTCTTTATAAAGAAGAAGTTCTCTAAAGCAGAATCACCATCACTCCAATCTCAAGGCAAGTGCAGTATTTATAACTTACTTATGAACATGTGCATGTGAGAGCTCAGTCTGTGAAAGCTCTTGTGGGCTCAGACCTCACGTGGACCGGCTTCACATGAAACTGTGGTCATGGGTTTTAGTTTCAGAAGAAGAACAGGAAGCAGCACAGTCAAACTATTCTATTATTCTTTCGGGAGGACAAGGGATATTAAAAACTCTACAAAATCCGCCCGTGAACGCTGTTCCCTGTCAGCTGTTTTAGTAAACATTGAGGTCTCTGGAGAATATCTCCTAAACGGCCCATATAGTGCCGCAGGTGGTCTCTAGTCCATGGTGTGAGCATGAACCAATGAGCACTGGCCATTGATTTGAAAGGGCAGACATGTTGGGAATCAGGGGCTTTGGATCAGTGAATCAGACGCCATGGGAGAAATGTGAACTATTATACAACTTATTTCATTAACTCATTGAAGATACAACAATTGCATGTGCACAAAACTCCTGTGTTGTGTGTTTCTACAGAGACACCATGGTGCAGTGTTTATAACTGACCCCAGAAGTCTGTATTAAAATGTGACGGCACAAAATGTGTTGCAACACACGGGGGCAGTGTAGTGAGTAGTATCTAGGTTCTATCAGGGACCTTCTATTTGATTTTATTCATTTATTTGAACAGAAAAAGCACACAGTAATTGTATGACTGTAAATGTGCCAGTATTAGCTAAACAGCTAGTTTCCAATTGTAGGCAAAGTTTGATATTCCAGTTAAAAGTCTTTGCATATTATGAAGTGATATTATTTATAATAATATTTGTAGTCTATGAGTGAGGCTGCACTGAACTCTTGTTTCAGGTATTATAATGTAACACACTCAAAAGTACACACAAGAAAACTGTTTTGGTAGTAAAAAGCCATTTTAAGACTGCCTTTAAAGAGAAACTTAAAGCAATACATTCACAAGGTCTAAATGTTCACCGTGAGGGACTCCAGGTTCTGTATTGGCGGCACTTTCGAGAGGTTTACAGAGTTCAGCTAACTTTTAAGTACTAAACTAGGCTCGTTAGTGGTTAGATAAACTCAAAGATACATAAAGACAGCGTGTGTAAGATAAGACATACATGAAGTAACGCAATATTTGAGTTTATGAAAATTAAGAAATTATGATAATGAATTGGGTCATAATCAACATAGAAGAAATTCACTTTCCATAACACACATTTTTTTTATGCATTAAACCCCCATGTGAGACTTTTCATGTCTTCAGGGGGAAAAATGTTTGTTTCGGCTAAAAAACAAACAGTGAAGACTATAGCCCTCCCCAATACTATGCATTTGCTCAGGCTAATTAAATATGTAAGTAGTAAGTAAGTAATTATTTATATACCGCCTTTTCACTGCAGAGCTGAGTCTCAAAGCGGTTTACAATTGTTATTTGTTTTTATTTTTTATTTTTTTTTGGGCACTTGTCTTTCACTCCACACAGAGATGGGAGCGGGGTCGCCAGTACAGGAGGCGCATGCCAGAACTATTTTACATATTTTTAGCGGTAGGGGAAACCGGAGTACCCGGAGGAAACCTACGCAGACACGGGGAGAACATGCAAACTCCACTCAGAAAGGCCCTGGTCCGACCGGGATTCGAACCCAGGACCTTCTTGCTGAGAGGCGAGAGTGCTATCCACTCAGCCACCGTGTCGCCCTAAATATGTCAATGCATTATTGAAATCCTTATTTAAAAATATCATGAAGCGAGTCTTTGCTGAACAGAAGCTCACTGCTGTGATGTCTTTATTTCTCCTCTTTATGCAGGGAGCGTCTTCTGTGCTGTGCCGCCTAACACCGGACCTGAAACAGATACAGGCTCGTCCAGGATTGATGACTGCAGCAGCCAAGATGCCGTTATTCCAGGCCTGGACCTGTGTGCACCTGTGCTGCATATCTGAGGGAAAAGGGTCAACGCTGGAGCTTAAGGACCAAGGACAAAAGTTATAAGCTATAATTGTACTGAAGCTCTCGAAACCTGCAGTGAGGAGCTCCAAAGTGTGGTCTGATGAAGCTGTGGAAGAGCTGCGCGCATGCATGGAATCTACAGACTGGGACCTTTTCAGAGCTGCCACAGATAGTTTGGATGAATACACGGACACTGTGACGTCATGCATTCACTTCTGTGAGGATAGCATCATTCCAACAAGGACCAGGGTCATCTATAACAATGACAAACCCTGGTTCACTGCTAAACTCCGGCAGCTCAGGAAAGCAAAGGAGTCTGCTTTCAGGGAGGGGGACCGCAGCGGCTACAAAGCAGCTAAATATCAGTTCAGGAAAGAACTGAAAGCAGCCAAGTCCCGGCACAGAGAACGACTACAGGAGCAGTTTGGTAACAACAATACTGCTTCTGTCTGGAGGGGCCTACGGGAGATCACCAACTACAAACCCAAAGCCCCCCCCTGTGCTGATGACCACAAGCTAGCTGACGAACTGAACTTATTTTTCAGTCGCTTTGATGCTGCCCCTGACACCTCTCCCTCCCCCACCCCCCACTATTCTAACGACCCACCCATCAGCCCTGCCCCCAGCCTAACAATAGCCTCTAAAGACATTAAACAACTCTTCTTGAGGCTGCACCCCCGCAAAGCTCCTGGCCCGGTCCAGGACAAGCTCTCCCAGCTCAACGTGCCCGATTCCACCTGCAGGTGGATCACTGACTTCCTGACGGACAGGAAGCAGCGAGTGCGTCTGGGGAAGAATGTCTCGGACTCTCGGATTATAAATACAGGAGCCCCACAGGGCTGTGTTCTTTCTCCCCTGCTCTTCTCCCTGTACACCAACCACTGCACCTCCAGCCACGACTCCGTGAAGCTGATCAAGTTCGCGGACGACACCACCCTCATTGGACTCATCTCCAGATCGGCATGCTGTGTCTGGGAGCGGAGATTCCAGCAGGCTGGAAGAGCTGTTCCTGGATGCTTCTTGTCGCTTCTGTCACTTTTGTTTTTTAAATTGAATATTCCGACGCGGAAAAGAGGTTGGCAGACCTCTCGGACAGCCCGTGCGCACCTGTTTGACAAGAATAAGGTAAGCAGACACCTTTTTAAATGTAAAGTCTGCATAATTGGATACTAGCTAAATTTTGGTCTGTTTTTGAGGTCTGTCGAACTCTCTAAATTGTGTTCAAATAAGTGAGGATCCAGAAGTGAAACCATGGTGTAAAATTAAAAGTAATTATAAAAAGGGAAACGTGTTAAGGAGGCCTTTTGTCACAAAAAGTTTTGTAATTAACCAATTCCAAGCTTGATAAATGACAAAAGTACATAAGCAACAATATTTCAGTGATCACGGTTTAAATTACATACAGAAAAAGGGAGTTTTTGTTTTTGGCGTGAACAGAGTTCACCGGAGAATGCAGAGTTTTATCTAAAGTTGAGCTATGAGAGCTTTCGTGAGTTATTTACATTTTTTGCAGAGTTTTATCTACAGTTAAGCTATGAGAGGGTTGTATCCAACAGTTGTTTTTGTTTTTTTAGAAAGAGATTTTGAGTTTAAATTAGTTTGCTACCTCGATAAAATAGAAGCGTAAACGTTAAACACTAAGAGTGCCTTTTGTTACAAGTGTGGAAAGTGGCCATTTCTAGACTTGGATGACAAAAGTATAAAGAACAACATCAGTTATATTCGCTTAAAAAAGTAATCTTGAAAGTTATTCTTCTGTATCTTTCTGCCTGTGTGTGCACAGCTCTATCTTGCTGCCGTTGTCAGGGGAAACGGCCCCCTCCTTCGCTGCTCTGGCTCTGAATCAGAGCTACTGCTTTAGGATTTCTGGCTTTTCATAGTTGTTATTCCGTTAAATTTGCTAAATTTGCAATTGAACATTGTGTTAGACACAGTTAAACGTTTTTAAACACCATTAGGGAATAGAAGTTTTGAATTAGTATGTTTTTGAAACCCAAATATTAGTGCTAAAGCTGTGCAATTCTTTTTAGACCTAACATATTTCTAGATTCCATTCTTTTAAATCTGCTGCTTATTTCTTAACTGTTTGTGAGTTGTGTTTGTTTTTATGTTTTTATTTTAGTTACAAAAGCCGTTTTTCAAACATTTAAATTAGAATCTGTGTTAAAAGTGATTATTGATTATAGACTTCGTCTAAAAAGAAAGAGCGAATTAGATTAGCTGTAAAAGTATTATATTATTAAGTTAAACTACCCAATTCACCCATTGCAAGCGGTGACGTTTTTGTTTTGACTACACGCCTGACCTTACTGTTGCTGATGCCACAGCAGAGGAGCCTGGTCTGAAATGTGCTCCAATTCATATTGACTTAATTTGAAAAATGCTGCAATTATTTTAAATTAGTAAAATATATGCTGAGATAAATGTCCATGGATAATTAATCACACAGTACAAAAGTACATAATACATATTTTAAAGTTTGAAGGTTCAAGAGATTTGAGTCTTGTTTTTTATTAAGAGAGTTTCTGGTCTTAAAATTTCATCATTAGTAAGATAATAAGTAATCTTTTATTTACATAGCGCATGTGGGAAAGCCCAGAGCGCTCCAAAATTGTTTTGACTTCAGAGAGAAAAACAATCTAATTTGCATACTGATATCTATTGTTTTTTTAAATTGGCCGTCTCAAGGATTGTTTTTCAGACTCTGCCACACTGTACGAGAGGTCACTGCTGGACACTGGACACCAAAGCCCACCCAGCCACAGGTCACAGATCAAAGAGCAAAGGGAAATGCCACCTCCTTGCCCCTCCCCACGCCACTGCAGAACTGAGTGGGTGTGAGAGAGACCGGGGCCATGAAAGAAAGGTATCTGGAGACGTGATGGGTGGAGCCTCAGGTAGAGACCTAGAGGGAGTTGAAAGTGTGTCCACGTGTTTGCATCACCACAGTGTGACCTTTGACACCTGCAGGTGGTTCGAGGAGTCTGGAGACACAACCCCAAAATTCACATACACACACACACACACACACACATACATACATACACTCACACATTCACATTTACATATAGATACATGAAAAAGCAGAACATGAGAAAAAAGCATTTTAAAAGTTTACTCCAATGTAAACATATTTTTAATTGTCTATCACTTGAATCTTTATTTGAATCAGTATTTTTTGAGACCAGAAATGTTCATTTGAATTCTATATTGTCATGGATTTAATTGACCTCTGTCCTGACACTTTTGATTTGTTGATTTTGTACTGTGTGAAGTAATTACATTGATTAGGATTAGATCTGATAAAAACACAAATTAGAGAAGTAAACTGAATCATTGCGCTTGCTTTTGTCTGAGAGACATTAGCAACAGCATGAATAGAAATTGTGTTAAAGTAGAATCAAAGTGACTTTACCATAGAGAGTAACTACTGTATAACAAGCTGTGTACAGGAACTGAGACACTGCACCATTGACCAGAAGTGCATCGCAAATGACCTGATGTGCTTCAAGTGAAAAGACTGTATCTGGAGATCCTGATGTGCATCTGGAGACCAAAACCATGGCTTGGACCCTACTGATGTCCAAGATGACATCTCTCGAAATATGACCTGACCTGATGACGACTGAGACTCACCCTCAGGGGACCCTGAGGACCTGAGGACCTGAGGACCCTGAGGACCTGAGAGAGAAAAACTGGGGAGTGATGTTTATATTTTTGAAATCATACATTGATGAGTGCTAAATGAGAGAGATACTCATGATTCTTTCTTTTGTTTTTGTTTGTCCCTAGCTTCTGGACATCTGATGATCTATTGGACACAGACATTTGCAGAACAAGAACCAGCCAATGAAAAAACGTCTATTGCCGATGCTATTGCTACAACCAGAACCTGTGACCAAATGCAATATACATGTTAAGTATTCAGACATCTGACAGACAAAAACTTTGACTTTTTTAGTCTGGGAGACTGAGCAACTGTTAAAATGATAAAGTATGAGTATTGTAGTGTTGTATTAGATGTTAAATAGTAGTAAAAGAGTAGAATTGTCCTTCCTTTGTTGTTCATAAACATATTTCCACGTAAGAGTTAAAATAGTAGCATACAATGTTATCCTTTTGATAGATCAGCTAAAATATTAGAATCAGAGTTATTTTTTTTGAGACATTAAAAGTGACAGAAGTCACAAACTAGAAATATGCCTTTGCTCAAACTGCAGCCAAACTTTAGAGTCACAATAGTGTAGAAATAGAATTAGATAAATGCATCAACCATAGATGCTTTCAAAAATAGAGATTATTTCTAGCCAGTGCTAATATCAAATGGTAAAGGGACCATTTCACAAACATTTACTTCAGAAGTAAATCAAGTTAATTACAGTTGTATGTACAGTTTTATTAGATACTGTCAAATTCACTTGTGTTCAAACATCTGTGAATGTTGACAATACAAAAAGTTCATGAAAGTAGCTTAGATCAATGAGATAGATTAGCACCAACAGAGATTCAAAAGCATTTAAAAGCATGTTGATGTATTTGGGTATAGCCCACTGTCGATTCATCAGAACAGATTAGAGAATTCAAACAGCATTGTAGAATAATAACTGACCCCAACCCCAAACCTGCTAAAATAGATTAGCTCTTGTAAGGATAATACTAATTTGATTAAAGATGTACATTCATCCCAAACTGCTTGAGAGGAGGAAGTGACAGCACTTCCTGGTTCAACAAATGTATTTGGAAAACTGACCGCCATAATAATGTTCATATGAACCATTTGTCTTTCTGTGTTCACAGTTTTATTCCTGAGAATGTAGAGTAGACATAGAGCAAAATCCCACTGACACAAAGCCACTGATAATGAAAGTATAATACCACAGAGAGATTAAAATGTATGTTTAAGAATATGGCTCAATAGAAGCAAATATACAAACATATTTGTAAATAGATTAGAATAGTTTTAAACTATATTGAATAGTGAAAGTAAAGTACA